TCTCTCTCTCCCCCCCCCCCTCTCTCTCTCTCTCTCTCTCTCTCTCTCTCTCTCTCTCTCTCTCTCTCTCTCTCTCTCTCTTTGAACGACTTCAGAATGTCTTTAGGCATTGGTTGAGGGCACGCCATGAGGATACTGGTGCCTACTTTTGAGAGCTCGATTGGCAAAGGGGACATGCCACGGCAGAGTTTTTTTTGGTAAAGAAATCTCACAATTGCCCTCAAGTGGGAATTCAGTTGCAGGATTGTCACTGCTGGAATGCTGACTGTGAACATCTCCAGCCCAGCTATAGGTCAGGCATCTTGCTGTGGACACACAAAGAGGGATTACAATGTAATAATAATGATGGTGACGGTGAAATTGAAGCTGATACTGTGAATGGAATAGCAGTGTTTGCATTTCGGATGAGTAAGTGGTCGTGTGTGGTGTCCCTCCAGCTTGCAATAAACCAATTATAATCATGTCATTCAAAAGCTTCATTCATGAGTGCATTTCATCAATTCATCACAGACTCTCTCTCTCTCTCTCTCTCTCTCTCTCTCTCTCTCTCTCTCTCTCTCTCTCTCTCTCTCTCTCATATTTTATTTTTGGTTTTAAAGCTCCGTTGAGAGCAACCAATTGTGTGAAAGCAATCGCTGGTATCTTCTTCGCTTATGATGTGAAAACTGTTACGATGTAAAAACTGTTCATAATGGCCTTAGGATATACTCCTTCACACTTTGACTTTGAACAGACTCTGGGGGGCTTAGCTGATAATACATATCCTGGAAGCTGTGCCAGTGTGCTTGTTGTCAGGATGTCACGACACGTGGAAAATGGTGGCAGCTGCCACACATGCCAAAGATAAGTTGTGGCTTGCTATACCTCTCACCTGAGGAGATTGCCGGGGCATTATAGCTGTGTATTTGGTGCAACTTTCAGCCTAGATACGGTGATAATGTCAGGGCGCTATAGTCGGGTGAAGATGGTAGGAATTATTACCTCTGCACAGAGTATGGACAACATGCAGATGGGATAAGGGTATACGAGAAAACAACTGACAGACTTCGTGTGCACAATTCAACAGACTGCAGCCCACATGCAGACAGAAGAGGTATTGAGAATGGGACCAGGGGGGTGGTTACTAACGGCAGGACTCTCATAGGTTAGACCTTGGCCTGGCCATTAGACACTGCCTGTGGTATGTTCACAGGTATGTTCACAGGTATAGACGGCTAGAATCTGATGGGGGGTATCACGATCTGCCCGTGGCACTCAATTAGACCTGGCGTCCAAAGTGTTCATGTGAAAGGGCTCGTCCAGCACGTGCTTCAACTAGGGCTGAGTCTTTCTAGCCAGTGATGCTACCTGTGACTGCTGTTCATCGGGGCTATCCACGAAAAGTGGGGTAGATGAGGAGGAGGGAGCATTGGTCCGCGAAGGCGTCGTCATGGACGGCGGTGAGCGCCCTCGTAGGAATGGATTCCGGAGTAGGGGTGTGATCTACCTTGAATAGCAGGAGGTGGGTGGGTTTGCAGGTTTTGGGGCTGATGGGATCCTGCTGCGCGTGTGTTGGCTCTGCAACAAATAGCTAGACTAGCTTGACAAACTCTCCTGACAGTAAGCCCAATAAGACATAAAAAAAAATAAAAAATAAAAAAATCAATGAATTGTTATTATTCTAATTTGTTTTATCTTGTAGACAAATCTTCTTTGTTTTTAATTAACCAAAATTTGCCACTAAGACATAAAAAATAAAAAAATAAAAAAAACATTAGGTTGGGTTGGACTGAACAGCAGCCGGAATAAATCTAGCAGGACAGATCTTTTCGATGCACCTGATTAGGACATGGAGGAAACCCCGGTTAGGGTACCTGGAATCATGCTGACAGCACTAGGGCAGCCTGCATCTAGGTAAGCCTGCATTGAACGACGAGTGAATACTGAAATCCGCTTTAGAAAAGTTAGCCCGCTGGAAGGACCAACAGACCTCCCTAATCAGTAGGGCGCTGGCGATTAACAGTGTGGTATTGGCGGCCCTTTGGTATAAATCCGCAATCTGGGCTCTCAGTAAGGAAGCCATCCGATCACTGAAGTGTCAGGTAACAGCCCTGCTGTGGCGAGGCAATGGTGAGCTCACGAACGTCACTAGCAGGGTAGCTTGGTCATCAATGGGGTGCTGGGGATTCTTGACCCGGAAACATAGGTCACATCTATAATGGTGCAATGGGTTAAGAGGCTGCTCTTCGCACAACATCTCCCATGGTACGCCCTGGCACTAGAACAGATTGCCAGACCTGCCCTACAAGCACCACATGATGTTCACCCACTGACCTGGTTGGAAAACTGCTTCTTGATGGTGCCACGACGCACGCGGGGCAGTTGTGAACCGAACAGAGGAATTATCCGAAAGGACTTGGTTCGGGACTACTTCTGGGCCAGGATTCTAAGAGCCTGGCGCCAACTCCCTCTTTCTGACAACCCCACTCCGACTAGGTGGGAGGAAGTGATGCGCTAACCCCTTTTTGGAAACAGGAGGATTATTGAACAATGCAGCAGGGTGTATTGCAGTTCGGTTGCCCTGTGGTGTAGCTGGGTCAGAAAAGGTGTTATTAGAATAAAGGACATTTGGAACTTAGAGACAAGGGATTGGAAGGCCTTTTTCATATAGGCAAGGATAATGTCCTCACCCGGTACTCCCTAGAAGTGACGAGATGGGGAAAAATAAGGAACTACAAATTATTTGTGTGCTATCGGGACAAGGATGTATGGAGTGAATATCAGCTCCAAGGATGGCAGTGGTCACACCCACGAAAAAGCAGATCTCAGGGGAAGACAAAGTTGCATAACCTAAAGGTGAAGGTAACGTACCGCCTGTTGCTACCTAAAGTAAACACTAAAGATAAGGTGAAGGATAGATGGAGATCCCAATTAAATGTAAGGGTTGAGGTGGTCCGTCCTATTCGATGATTCACTGCCACTAGATCTAGGCCAGCAAAGATGACCTCGTTGCAGTGGCAGATAGAACATCGTTGCTTACCCACCAACGACTAGTTGATAGATTGTTCCCATCTCGAATAGAGAGGGCATGTGCTACCTTGGTGCAAATCGTGCTACACTATATTCCCCTCCTGCGTAATCCCGGAAACTATAGAACACATATTCATGTAATGTGAGGGAGTAGTCCTCACATGGCGATGGTGGGATAGAATCTTGTCCCGGTTGGACATTGGGTCCAAATGGCCTTGGGACTGGAGAGCCATACTATGCGAGACATGGACCTCCCCTACGGAGAGCTGTCATATGGGCCCTCTGGAGGAAAGGTTGTATACATGCCATAGAGGGAACCCGCATAGCGGAGGGAGAGGTGACAGATATGATAAACAATATGTCCAACAAGAACTAACGGTACAGTGGCAAAAAATGAAGAATTAATTGGCCATGTTTCACTCGTCAAAGATATAATACAAACAATTCAGCAATTCTCAAGGGACTGGTTGGGCAGCGAGAATGGGGGCTGGATTGCCTCTGTCAGATGGGAAGGCAGGCCTACCCAGCGAGGCCACCAGCTACCCAGCAAGGCCACCAGGAAGAGTTCAGAAACAACTACCGTATTTGTTTCAAAGACCCGACAGTGGTGGGCAAGGAGTTCCCGCTGCGACCATCCATAGAATTTCCCGACTCCTTCCCGCCCCAACAGCTAGCAATGGTGGACCTGCAATGGTATGGAACCGACTGTTCAGTCTGAGCGAGGTCAGAGCACATATAACGGATATAAGAAGCGCAACAATTTTAGCCTCACAGAGCATAGTTCAGACATAATTCACCTTACTACCTTAGGTAGCCACATCAGCAGTTCTGGCACAAAGAAGAAAATCTGACAGTCAAGGAACTGAGAGGAACTGACTGCATGAAGCAAAACGTGTCAAGCTTCAAGAAATAGAGTAAACGAAACCCTGACTACACAGGCTAACTTAGGCAGGGGTGAAGGATGGTACATCCTTCCTAATGGAAGTAATCAATGTCGTCCTTCGGGCCTCCACACCAGAAGGGGGAGGAGCGTGAGTGCGTCCTCAATGTATTTTCTTTGACTTGCCGGTGGAATAGGAACTGGACTGACACTCCCCAGAATGGACAAGGAGCCGGAACCCTGAGGTTTTGTTTAAAAAACTCCCCCTCCCTGACAAGAGCACACTTCCCTAGAGCAGCATAGGTTGGCCCTTCCCCGGAAAATCAGACAGAGCACCTCTTCCTTCAATGCTCGCCTGTGGGTTCTTACCAGGAGATGGTTGGACAGGATGTGCAGGCACATTGGAGTGGGCATGAGCTGGCCATGTAGTGGAGGGTAGTATTGTGTGATGAATACATTTGCCCCAGCCCTGCGTCTTCACCTCCAATATATTCGGCCTCTGGGCACTTTGGTCGAAGAGATGCACTCACGTGAAGGAAGGGATGAGAATAGAGGGGAGGAAGGTACTCCGCCCAGGCAAACTTTTGAGGCTAAAATGAGTCATTCCTAAAAGTTAGGGGACTCGCCCCAGGGCGGTCCAGGGGGCAGGCGGAATTTTTTTTTCTGTCCCATGGAGCACCAGTGCCAACCCTGATGCGTGGGACATACTTTTTTTCTTGCCCGCCCCCAGGCCCACCCTGACTCTTTGGAATGAGTCATTTTGGCCTTAAAAGTTTGCCGGGCCGGTGTACTTGTGGCTTAAGGCAATTAAACCACCAGTACTTGGCCCAGCTATCGGTTGCGGGAAAAATAGAGTAGAAACATTTATAGTCGGATGAATTTGGGCGCTCCTGTAGTGGCCCGTACGTTTCCTAAAATTGTGGCTTGTTAATGGGCACA